TTCTGGGTTGCCCTTGTGAATTTAGTCTGCAGTACTGCGGGCGCCCCCTGTGCCCATTGGTGGGACTGCTATAAGCTAGTAATAGCCTATCCAGATATTATTATAGATCCTTGATTGATCTTGGATTCATAAACCTTACTTTTATTTTTGACCCTAAACCTAACCCTTAGGAATAGTGAATACTAACCATAATCAAGTCAACAACTTTGACTTGATCCTGGACTGGTGATGTCACATAACTCTGAAATGGATATAATGGATCATATTATATCACCTATGGTCATGAGCTGTGGGTAATGACCGAAAGAACGAGATCGCGGATACAAGCAGTCGAAATGAGCTTCCTCCGCAGAGTGGCTGGGCGCTCCCTTAGAGATAGGGTGAGGAGCTCGGTCACACGGGAGGAGCTCAGAGTAGAGCCGCTGCTTCTCCACGTCGAGAGGAACCAGTTGAGGTGGCTCGGGCATCTGTTCAGGATGCCTCCTGGACGCCTCCCTGGGGAGATGTTCCGGGCACGTCCCACCGGGAGGAGGCCCCGGGGAAGACCCAGGACACGCTGGAGAGACTAAGTCCCTCAGCTGGCCTGGGAACGCCTTGGGGTCCCCCCGGACGAGCTGGAGGAGGTGTGTGTGGATAGGGAAGTCTGGGCGTCTCTGCTTAGACTGCTGCCCCCGCGACCCGGCAACAGATAAAGCGGAGGAAAATGGATGGATGGATGGATGGATCACTTCTCTGGTGATTAACCCAAAAAATACACCTTCCCAAAATCTGGAACACCATGGCTCCTCACTACCGATCAAAAGGTGCCATACATACCTATTGTATGTAGTAAATGGCAGAAATTGGTTTTTATTACAATCAAATACTTCATTTCCAAAATACATGTTGTGTGGTCAACTCTTGGCGAGTCCCTGCAATGACTCTGAGGCTTTGGTTTTGCCCCAGGTCTTCCAGTTTCCCCAACCACTAAAAACATGTACTAGTCCCGTGTAGCACCCACTCCCACAGTGAAAACAGAGGTGCAAGTGCAGCTGATTTTCACTGTAGACTGTAGCTCTCACGTTGCTCTTTTCTGTTTATTTGTTTAATTGACAGAGGAGTGTGTAGAGCTCATGAATCATGCTTGTCTGCGCTGGTTTAGCTATGAGCCCTCAGTGTGCAATGACCATCCAATAATCTGCAGTACTTTTCTCTGGTCTCAAGTGAACAAGAGTGTCCCATTAGTGGTATTGAACATGAATCAGTCAACTTAGACATTTTATGGGGATTAGCTCAGCTGAGCCCCATGCCTAATGCACTGATAAAGGATTTAGACACCAGTATTTTAGTCAATATCCTGCACTTTTGAACTATTCTGGCGTAAATGATGATGACATAGCTTTCAAGTCACCTTCTGATCAACATTATTTGTCGTTTTTGCTTATTCCTTTCTTGTTGATTTTCTGTCACACAACATAGATTATTGTGCAGAATTGATACAATTGGTTGTGAGCTGGGGCGACGGTGGCTCAATTGGTGGAGCATTGGTCTTTGGACCTGATTGTCGTGGGTTCGATCCCACCACGACCCATGTCATCTGCTCCCACTGATGCACTGTATGCTGTTGTTGTGTCCCTGGGCAAGACACTTAACCCCACTTTGCCTGAAGTCCCCACTGAAAAATCAAGGCCGTATCCAGTGTTGGGCACGTTACTTTGAAAAAGTAATTAGTTAGTTACTAGTTACTTCTCCCAAAAAGTAACTGAGTTACTAACGGAGTTACTCCACTATAAAAGTAACTAGTTACCAGTAAAAGTAACTATTGCGTTACTTTTTCGTTTTGTTCTGGAACATAATGTGCACTCGAGGTGCGCATTTTTACCTTTAACCTCAGTGAGTTTGAATTATTGCCAATATTTCCATCTAGAAAAGGCTGTTTTGCTGCTGAAGTCCTGTTCACTCTTCATCTGTCTCTGTGTAAGCAGACAACACCCGCCACTGTGAATGTGGAAACACCGGTGAAGCACTGACTTCAGCCCAATCAGATGAACATATATATCATATCATATCAACTGGACCAAGAGAGCGGCTTATTCACAATTTGTTTGGCTACAGCAGAATATGTTTCATGCCTGCATTGTTTGTTCATACAAAACGCAAAACTATGAGTTATGGGTCTTACCTTATAAATGACCTGCACAGTCCAGTTCAGTTCAGACCAGTTCTGTGTGTAAGTCCAGATAATAGTTTGAGCGTAGATATGTAATCCTCCATTTGGAAATGGTAAAAAAGTAAAACAAAACGCGTGTGTCCTCCATAAATTCCTCTGTTTTGCTGCAGCCGGGTGCATCCAATTTCTAAAATCAACCGTCTTACACTTCACCTCTCTTTCTTATTATTCCAAATTCCCAAGTTATATGTATGTTAGCCAAACCTGTTGCGGCGTTAGTAACGCCGTTACTAGTAACTGCAAATTCTGTAGTTAAAAAAGGTTTTCAGCAGTGAAAAAGCAGTGAAACTGTTGCGTACTAATCTTTTATTTACATAGCGCATTTTTACAGACTAAGGTCACCCAAAGCCTTGGTCTGTAAATCATATAAACGAATACATAGTGAACAAAAAACAGTTGAATGGATACAAAATATTACTATACAAACAGCACACACTACATTTAGTTTTATCATTTGTTTTTCGTGTTCTGACCAGGAAGGAGGAGGGATAGGGGAAGTGTGACAAAACAGACCCTGTTTAAGTGATGTCACATCACATGACACATCACATAACAAACATCAATCACAGGTCGACAGCACACACTGGATTGTGTTCAAGCCACAGATCTATCGGGTTTCTGTGGCCAGTCATTAAGTCTAAGCTTTTTGCCCAATTGATCCTCTAGATGGCGCCAGAGATCAAGTCAGTGTGATAAAACCTACTTTTCAGAGACATAATGAGACAATAACGTTGTAACATTATGCCTCCTGTCCACAAGTATTATTATAATAATAATACGGCATAAAATCATTCATTGCATTCATGGTGGTACAGTCAGTGGCTATTGTAGCCATAGCTGTCCTGGGACAGACTACGGAGAGTTGGCCCCTTTAACCACCACCCTTTACACACACATTCAGTCATGTGGTCCATATACTGTCATAGCCATAACTGCCCTTGGGCAGACTACAGAGGAGGCCAACCTGAGCTGGCCCCTCCAACCACCACTGTTCACACACATTCATCGTGTCTTGCTAAAGACACAACAACAGTTTGGTACTTTACTGGCGCAGTTATCCCACTGGGTCCTATATCGGTCTTCCACACTGACCATTATCCTTTAGCTAAATGTTCATTATGTATAATTTTATGTTTAAGGCTTAAAAGGTTTCTAATAAAACAAAAGTGTAAAGAAGCTAGTCCTGCTTAATATTTAATTACATGTTTCAGCTGTAGATTTCCGCCTTTTTCTTCTGAATGTAGTATGGAGTCGGGTCCTCTGGCCGGTTCTGAATCCGCTGCTTGGAGGATGCTTCATGGCCTATGTCAATTCATTCTTAAGGCATTCATTCTCTTTCTTGGCTTCTCTCAGTGAACTTCCTGCACTTGCTGCCGCAGATGTATTCAAGGCCTGTTTCATGAGCTGGATCTCTTATCTCTTATGATTTTGCTCCAGACGTTCCATTTCTGACCGCTCTGCCACCAGTTTCTGCTCCATCGTGCTCTTGAAGTCTGATTACTGGCGAAGCATCTTCTCTTTGAGTTCTTCCATTTTCCTACCACCATTTTCATGAACCTCCAGAACCTTGGTGTTACATTCTTCCTTTATCTGCTTGTTATTCTCTTTGCATTTAAAGTTTTTATCTTCCATCCCTGCAACAATAGTTTTGTTGTTGTTGTGACAAAGTCCAAACTAGTAAAACTATACTTTGGGAATGGCCTTTCCTTACATCCATCTACCGCTCCTGCATCCTCACCGTAAGCTCTTTAATGTAATGGTCGTCATCCAGAATACGATTGTTCAATTCTTCAATTGCTCTCACGTTTTCTTTGTCTTCTTTTGCAAAATCTTTTTCCAGGAGTCTCTTGTTGCCTCCTTTCTTCAGAACTCTTCTCCAAAGCAATCAGTGTCTTGTATGGATTTCAGTTCTGTCGAGGCCTGTTTCTTCTCTTTGAAAGTTGTGATGATGTTTGTGTACTCTCTGTTTTCCAGAGACTTAACCTGACCTCTTTCAGGGCTTGAACCTTGTCCTTGTCATGTCTTTGTCTATGTACTACTTGTTCATTTCCAGTCCTCTCGCACTTCTTGTTCATTCCCAGTCCTATTGTTTTATTGAATTATGTGGAAAAGTTAACTCCTCTAGCTCTTTAACTGTTTGTGACACTCATGATTCTCAGCGTCTCAGCGGATTATCTAAAGCCATGACATAGTTTCAAACAGTTTAGGGACTTGTCTGTAAACACCTGACCATTTAATGTTGTGATGTTTTGAACGAAATATGGAATAAGTCATCAAATCCTTCTACTATTTTGACATTTAACAGTATTAAAGCACGTAATGATTCAACTTTATTTAGTATGGAATGTGTTATCTGGATTAAATATCAGGAACTGTGTAAAAAAACTGTGAGTTATAAACATATAAACTCAACTGAATGAGACAAAAAGCTGCACCAGGAGGGTTCTTAAGTGCCACTTGCAAACCTTTAAAGATAAAATGTTATAGAATTTACTTCATTTTGAGCGACCGGTGTATACTTAAAGCATTTCCTACTGTTTTTAATTACTGCCCACTTCCCGGAGCATACTTTATTTTGACATTTTATTCACCAAGCATTCACTTGTGTTTTGAATAATTGTTGTTTGTTTGTAAAAATAAAATCCAGTCAGGAATGATGAATTATATATTCTCACCACAAACTGTACCAGCAAAAGGAATCAACACCATTATTTATATTCTGTTTGACACGATTCTTGTGCTTTTTTCTTGACAGGTTCCATCTGGACGTGGCTTCAAAAGACCAAATGCTATGGATGTGCTCAACTTCACCTATTGGAATGCCTCTGAGGGCAATGACACGGAGGTTGTGGAGGAGCAGCAGAGTCCATACAAGACGGTGGAGGTGGTGTTCATTGTGCTGGTGGCCGGCTCTCTCAGTTTGGTGACAGTTATTGGAAATATCCTGGTGATGCTCTCCATCAAAGTGAACAGGAACCTACAGACCGTCAACAACTATTTTTTATTCAGTCTTGCATGTGCTGACCTCATCATTGGACTCTGCTCCATGAACTTGTACACAGTCTATATAGTTATAGGATATTGGCCACTTGGACCAGTGGTGTGTGATCTCTGGCTAGCGTTGGATTATGTGGTCAGCAATGCATCTGTAATGAATCTCCTCATTATAAGTTTTGATAGATATTTCTGTGTCACCAAGCCCCTGAGCTACCCTGTCAAAAGGACCACTAAAATGGCAGGAATGATGATAGCAGCAGCTTGGGTCCTCTCCTTCATCCTGTGGGCTCCAGCCATTCTTTTCTGGCAGTTCATTGTTGGTGGGCGAACAGTTCCTGAAAAGGAATGCTATATCCAGTTCTTCTCCAATGCTGCTGTCACATTCGGTACAGCTATTGCAGCCTTTTACCTTCCTGTCATTATCATGATTCAGCTTTACTGGCAGATATCAAGAGCCAGCAAAAGCCGTGTAAAAAAGGATAACCGCAAAACAGCAGGAACAACTCCTGAGCCTGTGTCACCTGGTCAAAGTAAAAACAATGCACCCAAACCCACAAATAACAACATTCCCGGAGAAGAAAAAGGCCAGTGTCCGAGTCAGAGTCAGACTGCAGACGATGTGAGCCACCAGCAGGACGGCAGACTGCAGAATGGCAAAGGGCCCTCCAGCACGGCAGAGGGTGAGCAGGTCGAGGGAGATGACGCCGCACGTGAGAACTGTGTTCCAGAGGAGAAAGAGAGCTCTAATGACTCCACCTCTGGCAGCGCAGCCGTGTCCAACCAGAAAGATGAGGAGGTTACACCCTGCGCACCCAACTCCTCTGTTGAAGCCACCCAGACAATCCCACGTCAGCGTGCCAAGGCTGGGGGATCCAAGCTGACATGCATCAAGATTAAAACAAAATCTCCTAAGGGTGACTTCTACACTCCAACATCTAATGCCACAGTAGAGATTGTCCCAGCTGCAGAGCGCCAAAACCATGTGGCACGTAAAATTGTAAAGATGACAAAGCAGCCACCAAACAAGAAGAAAAAAGCAGCACCATCCCGGGAAAAGAAAGTGACCCGTACCATCATGGCCATTTTGGTGGCTTTTGTTGCCACCTGGACTCCTTACAATGTCATGGTGCTCATCAACACCTTCTGCTCCAGCTGCATCCCCAGCACTGTATGGACCATCGGATACTGGCTGTGCTACATCAACAGCACCATAAACCCAGCCTGCTATGCTCTGTGCAATGTCACCTTCAAAAAGACTTTCAAGCATCTTCTGCTTTGCCAATACAAAAACAGTAGGTCAGCCAGATAGACGCTGACAAATAAGGAGGTTGTCAAACATTGGGCCTATGTGTGTCATCCATGTGTGACTGAGGAGACTGAGAAGGATTGAAAGGAATACATGCATAATTGTCATCTTAAGTTTTATATATATTGTATCAGTGTATCTCTCAATAACTGGTTGTAGCACTTTACCTATATTCCTAAATATGATCACGATAAGAAAGAGTGTTGTTGAGAATGGGCTGAGGGAGGTGTGTGAGGAGGAGGAGGGTGTAAGAATAAAGAACAACACACACAATCTTCAACATGGGAAAATAGGGCTGACTGAATCTAACAAACCATGCGTTTGAAGTTCAGTAAAGATACTTGTATATATGTTTGTACATATCATATGTGTCTATGGTGCATCCTCACCAATCTGGGCCTACCTTTTTGTTTGTTTGTTAAACCAGCTACGTACTGTTTAACAGGGGTCTCCAACCTTTTCCAATTGGAGAGCTACTTTTATGAAACAGCATTTTCAGAGAGCTCCTCCTGTTAGCAGTAATTCAATTGTAGTCTATATAATAACTACTGTACAGCCAATCAGAACACACGCATAATATACTATCAGACTGTACAGAATCCCTGCATTATAGGAAATACTTATTATTACAATAGATATAGAATTACTCAAAAGTGAATCATTGAAGATCATGTTTTAAATTGTGAATCCTTTGGGGAGCTACCTGAAAGGGGGTGGTGAGCTACTGGTAGCTCCCGAGCCGCAGGTTGGAGACCCCTGCTGTACAAGATTAATCCATGGAGAGGTCAGCAGCACCTCAGTAAAGCTTCCAGCAATACGTCAATACAATACTGTTTGATTGAAGCTGTTACTCAGTTGAGGAAAACACAAAAGCAGTTCTAATATAAATGTAACTTCATCCCAAACGTCATAATGGTGATAATGTTTAACACTTCATCCTTGAAATATGATCCCTGAGAACTCACGACACAACATAAAAAGTAAGGTTACTAGAAAAACACAAGAAAAACAAAATATAAATATTCTCCACTAATAGTTTGATGAAGTCACCTAGGTGTATGTGAATTTCCAAACCTATTCCAGTGGTTTCTTAAGTCTGTGTGGACAAAAATGATAATAGACATCTCATTAGTCGCTGTGTTCTTGGTCCTGGGAGCTAAGAGCTAAGATTGTGTAACTTTATTCTATACTGGTTAGAGCGGTGTGCGTTTGAGTGACTGGGGTTGTCTGTGCGCTCCTGGATTGGAGTTTTCTTCAGATCACAGGTCATGAACTTGTGATTAAGGGCTATTCATATACTCGTTCATACATATGTGAATTATTGACACATTGACTATTTAATGTTGCCTAGTTACATTTGAGTCAGGCTGTTATTAAAATTAGCACACAACCAACAATGAGGATGTTGTGTTTCCTACACACATTGTTTATATATACATTTTAGATAGACATCAAAATCGACGAGCTGCTTTTGGCAAACTTGTTACCTGAGATGTCAGTGACAAGGGGAGATCACCATCCCCCCCCCCGTGATATAACTCTGCTTTATCCTCATTAATAAATAGTTAAAAGTGATGAATATGTATCAGAGTGGCAGCAGGAGGTTGCTTGGTAAAGAATAATGCTTCTGAAGGCTGTCTACTTAAACAGAGATGTGGGACAGATCATATATAATGAAAACCCACTGTGAGGTGGATCAGATTATCAGACACCCACATTGGAGATTAAAGAATGGCCAATTACAAGATCATGTTCTAGTGTCTATGTGTGCCCTGCATCTACTCCAATACTGTGAGTTTTATATGCAAGTTTTTAATAAGAGAGTTACGTATTATCGATTGTTATTAATTAAGGCGGTAAAGAGTGTCAAAACAAATCTATTTTGGACTACTTTGAAGGCAGGGTACTTATCATTGGAGCAGACTTTAGCATGTGCAGTGATGTACAGTCTACTCACTGATTGGCCTATGTTTATCTACGGCAGCAGCTTCAACAGGAACAGAGGCAAGCATCCAAGTTGAACATCCAAGCATCCGTCACAGTGATAAGTGGAGCCATGCCTGTCTGACATCTGTCACACATCTCAGTAGTGGGTAGAAAGCCTTCCACAAGATCTGATTAAACTTTGCTAAGCTGCTGCTTGAGTGGTATCAGCAGGGGGGTGAGTGGCCTGCTGGTTCAGGGTAGGTCCCAGTCAGAGCTTCAGATGCATGGATGTCAGCTGATGGGAGGTGTGGCAAGTGTATTATCTCAAAAGGCCAAAATGATACCAACTCACTTGCATGTCTGCATGTATTTCATAAGCCAGATCATGAGCAGCTGAAAAAATGAATACAGCATGCACTAGATTTGCCCACATCACAAACATGCGCAGAAGGCCAGGAATATCCAACACACGTGGGTGAGGGAATGAATCCCTTTTTAAGATGTTTCCGTTGGACAAAGTGAGAGCTGAAAAAAGTTGTCGTTGACACAGAGCACAGACAGAGGCTTTGGTGAATCTAGACCATGTTTGGAGTAGTCACAGTGGTTCAAGGCAGGTCAGCCAAAGGTTTGGATACAGGAATGCAGCAGTCCCTGACAAAAGCTGCATTCTGCTGTAAATGTAGTGTATTAGACTGCTCAGCCTCCCAGTGTACTTTTATTGCGTCTCATTCTGGCTGTAAAACACAATCTCCCCGTGCACTCCATATGGATGTCATAATAACCATTACTTTTATGAGGCTGCTCATGATTATGTTCATGTCAGTGTCTACTCGCATGTACATCTGTGTAGTACGACATCAGTAAACATTGTCACTGTTGTGATCATTAGATCAAAATGTGCCGTCAGAGCTAACGGGCTCCCCTTCACACGGCTAATGTCAAAGGGCTTCTCTCCTTTTATGGAGAAAATACACATAGCACATTGATCAGAAAGGACTTCCATTTTAAAGCATATCTGGCTTTATTCTGGAGCCTCAGCAGATTTAGTAGGAGCTTGTCACACAGAGGTGGATAAAGTGGCATGTTCCCACTATCTGCGTTTTATCTTTCACTATAGAACTAAATCGCCAGATTGTACAAGATATTCAAGTGCCTTGCTCAGGGTGGCGTAAACAAATGGCTCTTTTATGTTGGATCCCTTTTGTGTGAGCTGAGAGGTGCACATTCTGTTACAGTGCGAGGCTTATTAAGGAGCTTGTCTTTCGGTGTGACTGAGATGCGTGTTTGGGCACAAGTGTGTTCTCAGCTCAGAGCTCCCACGGCTGTGGCTCTCCATGGTTCACACATTTTAAATGCAATAACATTCTGTAGATTGAACTATTACTATGTTTGTAATTATTTCAATTATCTAAAACACATGTCCTGTTTCCACACAGACTTCACAAGCCCTACTAATACAATCTCTGCAGTTACACATTGTACAACGCACTTACAGCAGCAACGGGGTTCATTGCTGTATCGTTTTCATTTATTAGTCACATTGTGGAGGTCGCCTGAATGCGTGGTCTCATCGTTTCCTTTTTAACATTTAAGAAACAGGCTTCCAAAGAATCACGTGATAAATATACACACTTTAAATCATCTTTTACTTTTATAAAATCTTTGTGTCAATGTACAGATGTAAAGTTAAAAAATATATATAATATGTCCAGTGCACATATGGATATGTTTAGATGAAATGTAGACTATACTTAGACATCCAAAAAACTTTATTTGACAGACCACATGTGAACTCCTCCTTTACTGCTGTGTTATTCGGTTACAACAAAGCAAGTCTAATTATACATTAGGATTGCCCCCACTGAACAGAGCTTGAGAAGTTGAACCAAAACGATCACTGTTTTAATATTATTTTTGCATATTAAGCATAACTATACCAAATTACGTAATTGAGATAAGACATTTTTCCACTTCATGTGCTGTACATAGTGTATGAGATATTTGAAACTGATTTGCTTCCCTATGTAGATGTCTATGTTGTAATCACTAACTGTGGCTTATTGTGGACTCTCTGGCAATAGAAAAAAAAAATGTTATTAAAAACGTTATTGTTTGCGTTGTATATACCTATATGAGATAACGTATATGTAATGGATGTACAATAATCTGTTGTACATAGATGTGTTTAGATAGCTTTCTGAATGTGCTCCCTGAAGTCCCCCAAAGGCTCCTGCTTCCTCACTCCACTAACTGCTGTACAGAAATGATGATGTTGATTTCCTTCACGAGGTATTGATTGATCATCTGTTCCGGACAAGAAACCTAGGTGTAATTGTATCACTACTATACACCTACAACGTGATAAAGAATCAAGTGGTTACATGTGGCATAATATCTTCAATAAAATATATGAAATGTGTTTGAAATAAGATTTGTGTGTTAATGAGACAAAATGATGCTGCTCCGTCTACACCGTTTTATTAGATTAAAGAAATAACAACAGTTGGGAGACACAGGTAAAAGCGGCAAAGGGATCGAGGATCATAATCATAATATTTTACACCTGCCTGTGAAGATGGCTACAAACTGAGGTACAAAAATGCGGAGAAATTGTTACCAAAAATGATTAAGCAAGTCATTATATGCAGACCAACAAAAAGGTAAAATGCAAAAGTTTTTTGTTTTTTATCGTTTTCAACAAGAGGAGTACAAATAATCCCGTTTGGTGAACACAAAAGATGCACAATTAGCCCTAAGATGACAGTGTCTCGAGTACACTATTGTACAAAGGATTAGTATATGTTCACCACAGAAACTGCTTTTTGAATATACACACTACTGTGACAATAGTTTATAAATGTCTACAATCACTACAGAATATACAAATAGTGCTTAACGGGTTATTAGTCCATTTGAGTGCGGTCTCGCTTCTTGCCCTCCTTCTTCTGCTTCTTGGCATCTGGAAAAAAAAAACATTATTATCATTAGAATCATAATCCATTGGGTGTGATATTTCCCAGTAAGTAATCTTTATCTTTATTTATATACCGCCTTTTCACTGCACATCGGAGTCTCAAAGCGGTTTACAATTGTGATTTTTGGGAGTGGGGGTGCCAGTACAGGAGGCACATGCTAGACCTATTGTACATATTTTTAGTGGTAGGGGAAACCGGAGCACCCGGAGGAAACCTACGCAGACACAGGGAGAACATGCAAACTCCACTCAGAAAGGCCTTGGTCCAACCGGGATTCGAACCCAGGACCTTCTTGCTGAGAGGCGAGAGTGCTATCCACTCAGTCACCGTGCCGCCCAGACATCCTAACCAAGGTGCAGTTGTGGTTGTGCCTTATTTTTTAAGAAAACAAGAATTGTACTAGCCTGGTCTTACCACACTATTGTACTAAATTCATGATAAGGTCTGGATTTCCTTCATTGAGCTCCGTTAACAGGTGGGAAGGGTTATCTCCTTTTGCAAATTCAAAATACAGATTTTGCCGTGACGTATGTAATGCGCCCAAGTGAGTGAGGCATTTAGTCTAGCTTTAGCCATTTCCTTTGCCACTAACGGAGCCTGTGGTGAGTAAACATCTTTACCAGCAATGAAATCGGCTAAACATCCCTTTTGCTCCGGTTTCCATTTCTTGATATTTGGATTACGCCATTGCTAAACTAAAAACCAGCAAATTTGGCGCAAACTCTTGACGTCATTAACACCGATATACAATACCCGCCTCCCCAGCTCGCTGAATGGTTGGATGGGATACAAACAAGGTTACCATAGCCACTAGTATCAGACCCAGACATACATGTAGGAAAATAATAATTGACCGGAGTTTACGAATGGCTAAGGCCAGGCTAGAAACTGCAGTAAGTTTTTTATCTTTTGGTCTGCTTGTTTTCTGTTCCTTTCCTTATTTATTTTTTCCTCCAAATGCCATCTCCTCTTTAATTACCAGGCCCAGATTGTCTGAAGATAACTTGTAAGAATTAAAAGGGAAATCAAAGCAATTGTAAAAGATTACCAGCTCAAGACAAAGTCAATGTATAAAATGACAAAACTTGTGTATGAAAAATCAGTATAACTTATAGTGTGGATGGAATATCTTAAAAGAACATCTCCACAACTTGCAAATCCTTTAATAACATGCTGCCAGGGAGTTCAGAGCGGAAACAAGGTATGCTTAGCCAATGAGATTTCAATTGAGTTCAATCATTTCAGATTCTGAATGCACAGGAAGGAAATCTCTTCCAAATGAGCTCTTGTTGTCACCACGGCAACTCACACTTCCATCGCCATCAGACTTTTTGACATGTGGAGTTCTCTCGCCCATGCAAATCTTCAAGAATGATTTTCCCTTCAACGTCAACTACCCCAACTGCTTCCTTCATCATCAGAGGTTGTGGCATAATCTTTTGCCCACATTATGTCCAATGCCCTTCATTGAACAATTAAAATGATGGCAGAAAGTTTGATATGTTATAAAACTTAACACTTACTTTACCTGATCTGTAGACCAGTTAATGAACTTCATGAACCTTTCTCACATGATCATTCTTTAGCAAGATAGATAATACACCTTTCACCGATAACATAGAGGCCATATATTTCTCAAACTATGAGAGATATTGTTATTATTTCCATCTGTACTTTTACTGAACCCTTGAGATTATTTTAGAGATTAGCTTTTAAAAATCATGAGTAATTTAGAATTGAATAATCTTATCAATACAGGCCAGTATCCAACTTACTATTTAGCAGCAAGAGACTGATCCTTCAAAGATGGCTAACGATTTTAGATTTTGATTCTCAAAAGGCGACCATGCAGGTCTGTGAGGTGCAGCTTTTGATACAGTTGACCACACTATTCTTTTATCTAGTCTTAAACACTTAGGCCTCTCTGGTGCAGTCTGTAAATGGTTCACATCTTTTTAACAGACAGCACATTCAAGTCTCTAGATACAATTTCTAGTTCTCTTTAACCTGTACATGCTCCTTCTTGGAGGTGTGGGTTAGTTGATGTGTCAATGTTGACCATAAAGCACCTTGCCTTACATTTAATATATATGATATAGTCTATTCTCTGAGCCACAGGAAGCCAGTGCAGAGACCTGAGGACTGGACTAATGTGGTCGTACTTCCTGGTTCTATTCAGGACATGAGCTGCTGCATTTTGAATGTACTGCAACTGTTTTAAAGCATGTTTAGAGAGACCCGTGTGTAGCCCATTACAGTAGTCTAATCTACTGGTGACAAATGCATGGATATATGTTCCCATGTCTGATTTGAAATTTACTTTTGGCAATATTTTTAGAATTCTGCTGATGTTATAGATTTTATGCGCCTCAAATTTCAGGTCAGAGTCCATTATTACCTAAAGATTTCATACTTCATTCGTTGGTTTTAAGGAGAGAGACTGGTTGTAACTGTTTCTCTCTATTTTTGTGGCCAAAAACCATAACTTCGGTTTTATCTGGGTTAAGTTGAAGTAAATAGTTTTGCATCCACTCACTGATCTGTTGAATACACGGGCAGAGGGAATGTATTGGTCCATAATCCCCTGCAGTATTGTCATTTATTGATTATTATAAAATGCATATTTAATCTCAATTTAGAAAGTTAAAAAAAATGTGTATTTAGCATGAAAGAGGCTTCGTTCATTTCTTTTGCTCCCACTTTTCTCCCTTTCACTCCACAGGGTCCAAGTATTAAGGGGACTTGGACAGCCAAAACATACAATGCTTGACTCTCAACTCACTCTCTCTACGGGCGCTTCATTGTCTCTTCTCCTGAATCTGCAAATGACAGACGCAGCCCAACCCACACTGTCCAGAGGAAAATCTATCTAGGAACTCAGAATTGCAGATTATGTGGTGTGGCTCCATGTTGCCTGGGGGTTAGAATGCCTCTCATCTCCCATCGCACTCTGTATATTTGATAGAAGTCCTGTGATCTACCACCACTGCCACATACTCAAAAGACAATTTTGGCTTCCTGCGCACACACCGCGTACGCAGCATCCCATGTTTGGTTTCCTGGTAACCCTGTGCTTTCTTGGGCTTATCTTCCGACTGGCAGACATGGGAAATAGCACCTTGCTGTGATAGCGTTGCTCTCTTCCCTCGGCTGCCTCGCTTCATCTGTGCCACTGTCATGCTCGCTCAGCTCCCCTCTGCCCCCAGCACTCTCACCGCTCAGGCTGTCACTCCACATCTACGCTGCTGGTCTTCATTAGAATAGATGCAACGCAGGTATGCAATGGTATCTAAGTGTTTCATCTGTGTGTGTATCTACCAGATGAAGACACTTGATTTGCTTTTATGGCACGAACGCGGTCACTCGTAAAGAGGAGTGTGCTTGCCGTGCCGTGGGAGCAACATGAGCACATGCAGTACATATGTCGGCATGTCTTTTCTAACAGTAAATGGAATCACTTGTCCATCCATCCATCCATTTTCTTCCGCTTTATCCGTTGTCGGGTCGCGGGGGCAGCAGTCTAAGCAGAGACGCCCAGACTTCCCTATCCACACACACTTCCTCCAGCTCGTCCGGGGGGACCCCAAGGCGTTCCCAGGCCAGCTGAGAGACATAGTCCCTCCAGCGTGTCCTAGGTCTTCCGCGGGGCCTCCTCCCGGTGGGACGTGCCCGGAACACCTCCCCAGGGAGGCGTCCAGGAGGCATCCGGAACAGATGTCCGAGCCACCTCAACTGGTTCCTCTCGACGTGGAGAAGCAGCGGCTCTACTCTGAGCTCCTCCCGTGTGACTGAGCTCCTCACCCTATCTCTAAGGGAGCGCCCAGCCACTCTGCGGAGGAAGCTCATTTCGGCCGCTTGTATCCGCGATCTCGTTCTTTCGGTCATTACCCAAAGTTCATGACCATAGGTGAGGGAGGGAACGAAGATTGACCGGTAAATTGAGAGCTTTGCCTTTCGGCTCAGCTCCCTCTTTACCACAACGGTCCGATACAGCGACCGCATCACTGCGCACGCTGCACCGATCCGCCTGTCAATCTCACGCTCCATTCTTCCCTCACTCGTGACCAAGACCCCGAGATACTTGAACTCCTCCACTTGAGAAAGGACCTCTCCACCCACCTGCAGAGGGCAAGGCACCCTTTTCCGGTCGAGCACCATGGCCTCGGATTTGGAGGTGCTGATTCTCATCCCAGCCGCTTCACACTCGGCTGCAAACCGCCCCAGTGCATGTTGCAGGTCCTGGTTCGTTGGAGCCAACAGGACAACATCGTCCGCAAACAGCAGAGATGAAATCCTGTGGTCTCCGAACCGGACCCCCTCCGACCCCTGGCTGCGCCTAGATATTCTGTCCATAAATACAGTGAACAGAACCGGTGACAAAGGGCAGCCCTGTCGGAGGCCAACATTCACCGGGAACAGGTCTGACTTACTGCCGGCAATGCGAACACAGCTCTGGCTCCGGTCATACAGGGATCGGATGGCCCTCAGCAGAGGACCCCCGACCCCGTACTCCCGGAGAACCCCCCAAAGGACACCCCGGGGAACACAGTCGAACGCCTTCTCCAAATCCACAAAACACATGTGGACAGGTTGGGCGAACTCCCATGAACCCTCGAGTATCCGATGGAGAGTATAGAGCTGGTCCAGTGTTCCGCGACCGGGACGAAAACCACACTGCTCCTCCTGGATCCGAGATTCGACCATCGGCCGTAACCTCCTCTCCAGTACCCTGGAGTAGACCTTACCGGGGAGGCTGAGGAGTGTGATCCCACGATAATTGGAACACACCCTCCGGTCCCCCTTCTTGTAGAGAGGGACCACCACCCCGGTCTGCCACTCCATTGGCACTGCCCCCGATCGCCACGCGATGTTGCAGAGACGTGTCAGCCAAGACAGTCCTACAACATCCAGAGACTTTAGATAATCAGGGCGGATCTCATCCACACCCGGAGCCTTGCCACCATGGAGGCTACCAACCACCTTG